TTCCTCCTGAATAAAATTTTCTTTATTCTTCAGTTTTGAGTCATTTATGATGTGTTTATGAATAGTATGCCTATCAAAATTAATGTCATTTTTATAAGGATTTATGTCCTTAATTTTAGGCAAGTAATGAAACTGTTTAAACCTATAGCAAACAGATATTAAACACTGTCAGAAATCACCAAACCATTTTCCAAAAAGTGTTTACACTGTTCTACATCCTCATCAGATATATATGAGTTCTCATTTCTTCACATCCACATCAATATATTTTATGGTCTTTTTTTTATAATATTCCTTTTATGGATACAAATTATCATAATACTGTGACTTTAATTTACATTTTTCTAATAACTAACTAATAACTAATTATACTAAACATCATTTAAATTCTTATTGACTTAGTTTCAATACATATGAAGGCCATTTAAAAATAATAAAAAGATTACAACTTTTTTAATTTATTTCTATTTGCGTATGTGTTTGCCTGCATAGATGTCAAGTGCACCCATGTGTGCATGCCTACAATGGCCAGAAGGGGGCAATACATCACCAGAAGCTAGAGTTACTGAAGATTGTTAGCGGCCATATGGTAACTGGGAACTGAACCCAGGTCCTCTGCCAAAGCAGCCAGTGCTCTTAACTGCTGAGCCATCTCTCCAACCCAAATGTGAATGAATTTACATAAAGAGAGAAATGTTCATTATCTCTTTTAGTTTTTAATTAAATAGTTATGTGCTCAGTGTTGAAAGACAAAATGATGAAGAAGCACATATAATAGAGCATCATTTATACATTGTCTTAGTATTCTTTCTGAACTTATAATTTTGTGTATATGTATGTGTACATATATTCTTACATGTAGAGAAAATTATGATTGTTTTTAATTTAAGGAGAAATCTAGGCAAACATGATTCTTCTGTATATCATAAACTGAGTGGAATAAGCAGAAAATTCTACAAAAAGGTATTGCTCCTATACCCCCACCCCTGTATTATACCTTTATTTCTAATATATGAACCTCACATGGTTGACTTTATTTTTAAAGTGTTTTTACATGAACAGTTAAATTTATATCTATGTATCACCTGTGTCTCATCTGTAAGTCATTTTTTTTTTAGAATTTCTTATATGAGTATTGTAGTTGCATTATCTTAATCCCTCCAAGTTCCCCTGTAGGTCCTCCCATGCCCCTCACTCTGTCTCAACCTCTCATCCTTTTCGATTATTTGTTCCATACATTTATAATACATGCGTACACATGAGTACGCATGAGTACCACCTGAGTGGTGCTCAGGTGTTCCTGTGTGTTAGGGCTGATTAGATAACCTCTCAACAGGAAGCTCACCCCAGAGGAAACTGAGCCTTCCTCCCTCAGCACCTCATTTAATGCCCACCGCTCATTTTGCATTGGGATAGCTGTGTGGATTTCATTCCTGCAGCTTCCCTATCATGTCTAAAATGCATTAACTAGCAGTACATGTTTTTTCCCTCTGGCTTTTATAGTCTTGATTGCCTCCCAGAACTTGAATGTAAGACCCTGTTGTTGAAAACAAGTTATATCTTGGGCACAAGACTTGAAGAAGTTGAGCTGGAACTGACCTGGAAGTCTCCTCCCTAAAGACCATCTCTCATGTTATCAGAAGATACTATGGAAGCTGCCAAGGGAAAAAAAATCCAGTTCTACCTGGCTGTGAAGCCTACAAACCACAACAACAACCAACCCATTGAATTATCTCTATTGGTACAATAGTGGCAGTTTCATGATAGGAGTAATTAACACTTGTCCAGTTGGACTTAAGGCCTGTTCAATGCAGGTGGTGGGGGTGGGGTTATTCATGTAGAGTACTGTAAACATAGCCAAATACACATGGCTGGAGAAGTCAGAGATCCCAGAGAAGACCTGTCACTTCTCTAGAGCAGTATAACTGCCTATTTTCTTAATATATATCTTTATATTTACAGACAAGTGTAGCTCTCACCACTCATCAAAGAAACGTTATTTTGAAAAAGATAGAGGCTAATAAAAATTTGATCAGTGGGACAATGGGACTAGAGAGATAGCTCAGCAGTTAAGAATACTTGCTGTTCTTCCAGAGGATCCAGGTTTGATTCCCAGGACCCACATGATAGTTGACAACTATGTGTAACTCCAGTTCCAGGGGATCCAATGCCCTCTAATGACCTCCATGGGCATTGCACACAAGTGGTGAACTTACATACACGTAGGCAAAACACTCATACACATAAAAAAATTTTTAAATAATAAATAACATATTTTTTAAAGTTCCACAGTGGGTCAAACACAGAGAATAAGAGATTGTGAGGTGATTAAATCTAAGTGATACATTTGCAATGCAACCTCTACACTTAACTTTCAGGAAACACCATGGAAGAGGGGACAGACAAATGTCAATCATCTTTTTATTGTCACTGTGAAATCCATTAATAAATATCATTGACATAACAAAAATGAGTTATGAATAATCTTATGTGGTTCTACAAGTTCCTTACATACTCCGTGTACTCATCTACAATCAGATATAATTCTTTATTTTTATTTTATGCATATGACTGTCTTGCCTGCAAGTATGTAAGTGCAACCAAGTGTCATGCAATGCTCCAGAGACCAGAAAACGATGTCTGATCCCATGTACCTGGACTTGCAGATAGTTTTGAGCCTCCATGTGTGTACTGAGCACCTAACCCAGGTCCTTTGCAAGAGCAGTCAGTGCTCTAACCACTCAGCAATGTCTCCAGCCCCAGATACAATACTTATTTTTTTTCCTCTCAGACAGGGGTTTAGACTAACAATTTTCTTCATTGATTTGATTTTGTTTTTGAGACACAAAGATTCTGAATACATATTGAAGTATAGTTTACTGTGACAGTTCTCTCAATAGGTTTTATTTGGAAGTATGCAAGAACTGTTGAGCTAACCAAAAAACATGAGGATTTTGCCATATATCTTTTTCTTAAATATGTAATAGTTTGAGCTCTTTCTCTTTATTTATATTGATTGTATAATATGGTGCAAGGCAACAGTCTTATCTACTTTCCATATTCTGTATCTTTTTTGTTCTTCTTGTTTTATTATCTTTCAGATTAAAGAGACATTTAATATCATTATTTTAATTCCTTTGTTATTTTGTTTACTTCTGACTTTTAACATTGAAGTTATTATTTCAAATTTTTATAGTAAGTTGATTAAAAAGGTAGAATGACATTCTATCTTTTCCATTAATTCATTACTGAACCTTTTATTTGACATATGTAAATGAAAGATTTATTTCTTTTACCAGAAGCCATCTGCACACCCCCAAATATTGAAAAATGTGCATTTGTCCTACAAAATCTAACCTAGCTAACTGCAGGAGAGAAAGTGCCAGGCCTATGCACAGACTGCATTAGAGAACACAGCTCCCGCCTTGAGAGCGCAGCCCGCACTTCCACAAAAGAACCTACCTAATCTGCCCCCAGACCTAGAGACTGGTGACTCCAGCGGCCTGAATGAGGGGATCTATCAGGGAGTGACACACCAGCTTATGGGACACTGGGGGCAGGGGGAGAGATAAATAAGGCCTGCCTTCCTAGCAATAAACGAGTCTGCAGCACCTCCCCTAGTGCCTGCTTCCACCTGACTCCGAATCCGCCTGCTCACCCCCACCTGGGCCAGAACCCTCGTTCCCTGCAGCCCCTCGTGGGTTGGACCCACGAGGAAACCTGCAACAGCTAATAATTTCATGTGAAAATTTCCCTCATCCCATTCCTCGAGTACAAAGGTTTAAAGCTGTACAGTAATAATGATTCTCATAGGAAGTATCATAAATTCACATTCAATTTTACTTCATGAGATTCCCAAGAGTGAATTGTAACTTAAGAAAAATATATCATGGATTATTTATCCTGTAAAAATCATTTAACTTTGTAAAAGAACTGAACACAGAGAAAAGATTGAGTCAGTGTTGGTAAAATGTGGTATAAATAAAGAAATCAGTATCTAAAGTGAATTGATTTTTTTCAATCATGGGTATGCTATAATGAAGTCAGATATTGGTTCTGGTATGGTTCTCGTATGAAAAAAAAATGGATTAATTTAAAGATTTCCAAAGGAAAGTCATAAATAAAGATGCAGAAAACTTACAGATGATACTGAATGACACAGATGATTGGAAGTGACACCAAGCCTGTCTTTTTTATTCCTTCGATGGTTATGCTGTCTTGATGTGGATTCAGTTTCATAGTCAAATAACTACTATCCCCTGAATTCTTTCCTGGGAGAGCCCAGAAATCTGTGGATGTGGTGGTTATCCTTTGAGATCAAATAATACATATTATTAGTTGTTAATTTTCCATATTCTGATTTTTGAAAAGTTGTTTCACGTGTTAAAAATCAGTTTATTTTCTTTTGGTGTGGTCACCATCTGACATATTTTGTTTCATGGTACCTCATCTATAGAAATTGAGTGTATCTTTATCTGTACAGTGGAAATGACTTTTTTATTGTCTTCCAAATGATAATAAATACTTTGATGTTATTGCTTCATTATAGGAAATGAGACAAAATTTCTAAATATAAGCAATATAGAATCATGATTCTCAACTCTTGCTAAATCTACATGTCACTCACGGATTTCTTAAGGCTGCAATGTTCAGACAACTAAAACAAGAGAACCAGATTCTCTGGAGATAGACCAGACAGCAGATATCCTATATTAACATTAAGTGAAAACTCTACTGCCTCTTATGCATTTTGGTCCTATCCTTTTTTAGGTTTTACAAATGCTGGCATGGTACTAGCAATACCAAATACCAGACAATTGATAAATTCTATTTCTCAAGTATTTTTATGCAAATCATAATTTAGGATCAAATTATTGATAGATCTTCAAAACTCATCAGAGTACCCAGGTGGCTGCTATACTTGGACTTGTAGGGGCTCCTAACCTGAACATGTGTTAAAGGAGGAATGGATGATGTGTGAACAGAGTCAAGTATTCCAGTTTATTATTGAATAATGTTAGCTTTATTATTATAATAGAATACAGTATGACATAAAATTAAGAGCTTTTGCTAAACACTGTAAAGGGAGACATGCATCTGCCATAAATGACCTTGACTCAGGTTAGGTGTTATTGCCACTTCAGTGCACTAAGGTGCAATAAACATTCAGTGTCATCATTTAAAAATATTCCTGGGAGTCAACAGGAACTATCCTCTATAAGAGTGTATCTTTATTTTTAAGTAAGACTTAACTAGTATTACATGGTTTAGTAAAGCGCTGTTGAAAAACTACAGAGGATATTGTCTTTGATAAGTATGCAATCAATTTACACAGTAGAACACATGTACTAAAGAACTCAGAAATGACAGCTATGCAGTAATTGCAGACCAGTAAGAAATAGTCACATCTAATGAGCAAAAATACAGACCAAAAGCTAGCCATGAAGACTCTAAAGATAAAATGCTCCCAAAAAACATTAACGTCGAAAAATAACACGATAAACAGCAACACAGATGTTAGAGCCATAATTTCTTTTATTTTCTATACATAATATCTACATGTAAAATGTCCTTGGTTCAGCCTTTTTTTCCCCTAGCTTAAGAAATTTAGGCAGAACCAATCAAACAATGAAGCACATTTAAAATGACAACCAGAGGTTTGATTTTGTTGTTGTTGTTGTTTTTGTTGTTGTTGTTCTTGTTTTTATTTCTTTAGGAAAATATGAGCAACGTATTTTTCCACATCATTGGATAGCAGCTATTTGAGAAAAACATTGCTAAAAACGCAGATATGGATTCTAATTGTCTTATTTGGCAATTACCTTAAAAGCTTTATGTCAGAGTCTTGTAAATGTAATTAGATCATGATCTGTGACTTCAGAAGACTAAAGTTAAATATCTGTGAAAAGCTATCAGACAAAAGGAGACTTCAAAAATACCCTCTGCATAAATATTTACCTCTAAAACATCTGGGCAGTAATGAAAGACTAGAGTCTTTATAAGGAATATTAATGGACCTCTTTTATTTAAAGCCCTTACATAGTTTACCTACAAATATATTGCTGCAGTATAAATGAAATGTAATAATATTACTCAATAAAAGCTATTTCCTGTACATTCTTCCTTGTATTTTATATTGAATGCTATATATAGTACAGCACTTATTGAAATAGTTGGTATCAGCAAATAGAGCAATAATATACAGTTGATTTTCTAGCTTGAACTAGTGCTCTCTATATTCTTTCTTTATTACAATAGCCTAAAATAGGAAAAATGTGGTACGGCAGAACTTGAGCAGGAGCTACTGACCTATGATTGAACACTGGGCAATAGCGGTTCTGAGCTTTCTCAGTATAATTGGACTTTCTACTCAGTATCTTTTAAGTGGCATCTGTTTCCTACAGGCTGTTCTGTTCTTAAATGCAGGTTCTAAATGTATCTCCATAGCATTTAACAACATGGGAACAGCGGAGAGTGGTGATTTCTAAATGATATTTTAAGAACATAACTTTAAAAAAAGTAAAAAATGTACAATCTCATGCTGAATATTTACATATGTAATTTATATATTTTATTTTTGTATGCTAGTCATAAATTTCAATCTAAAGCTTTTGATGTAGTTATATAAAAGAATACATTCAACAATACTAGAGCTTGCAAAATAGTTTTGCCCTTCTAAAAACATCTTCATAGAAAGAATAGAGTGATTATTGGATGAATAGGCTATCTGGGAATAAGAGTGGAAAGGGAGATAGCTTCTAAATTATTCCATTAAGTAATTTATTTTCTTTTATCAAGTAAACATCAGTGTTAGGGTGATCTTCATAGAGTCTAGTGATAAAAACTCAGATGACAGTGATGTAGACCATTGAAAGGGTTCCTTTCCATTGGATTAAGAGTGTTTTATAGTAAGCAGCTGCCCCTTTCCCTATGAAATTTCCATGAATTTTAAAATAACATTGAACAACAATACATTAGCAATGTTTAAAAATACAAAGCCTGGGGACTTTTGAGTTTGAGAAACAAAATGTTAAAACTACACTCAATTTAAAACACAGAGCAGAAGAAAAATGTAAACACACCATTATTTGTGCAATAGAGACATAGATTTAAAAAATCATTGAACATTTGTAATTCATCCCTTTAAACACCTTCCCACAAAAATATTTTTGACATATACAGCATTTTTAGGATATTTGGAAATATATATCTACAAATGACTTGGGGGTTATACTTAAGCTGTTTTTCTACCTTTGCTCACGGCTTTGGACCTTCTTCCCCCTCCTCTCCTCTCTTGTCTGTCTCCTTCTGACATTTTGCTCCCTGGCTTCCTCTCAGAATCCTGTTTCTGAGCTGCACAGTCTGCTCCGCTTTGAACTGTCAGAAAGGGGTCTCTTGTTCTTATATGAGTTATGGAAATAAGGAAACCTTCAAATTCTTTAAGACAGAGGCAGGAAAGCAGATAGGAGTTACTGCGTTGAGAACAGAAAGCAATTCTCAGTGCAGACGACTGAACAACAGAATGTGAATAAAGGAGCCTATTGATGTGGAGTGGGAGCTTTTAGCTGAGGCTCTCTGTTTAAATATGTGGCCCAATAGACTAAGTTAAAGATTCCAAATAGCAGTGGGAAGGCTATTCTTGACAGTCGATCAATTTTGCTGACACTGTTAAAAGTTTTCTTGGGTTCTGGTGGTTTTGTTTCAGGCTTGACTTCTTTTGGTTCTATGGTTGCACTTTTGGCTATAGTAGCTAAACCAGGGTCACCCCTGGCCAGGTTTGGGGTGTAGCTGGTTGCTGTTGGAGCATAAGTGTTGTTTTTCTTAATGAGAGGATCCTTCACTTTCTTTGGCTGGAGAAGGAAAAATAAAGCAAATTATTTAGCAATCTGTGAGAGGCAGAATTATAAGTTGTTGAGCCAAGTGGCTTTTCCTTTGGAACCCAGATCTGATCTGTTTCATTTAGAAATCCAAAAGTGACTACTTCTCCCCTCCTTGTCCCCCCTCCCCCTCCCTTTCTCCTCCTACTCCCCCTCCCCCCTC